CTGCTTTCAGCAATGTTTAAGGGACCTTCACATACCCCGTCCACCGATAGACGCTCCAAAAATGTTTTTCTTGCTACTCAAAGCCCCTCTAACTAATCGGAAATGATTAAATAATTAATTTGCCAATTACTTAACCACTCTCGTATCTCTACTCTCGTCCGAGACTTGATCCGAGACTGCTTTCAGCAATGTTTAAGGGACCCTCAATTACCCTTTCTACCTACATTGGGTCCACAAAGGATTTTCAACTTATCTAATGCACCCTCAATTAATAAACAAATTGATTTGTGAAGGCATAAACAACTCTCGGATGCACTCTCGGACGATAGTCTTTACTGGAGTTGGCGCCCTAACCTCCGAAAATCCGAGAGTCGAATGAGTGTCCATTCCAAGAGTCCCTAGTCTCGGACTGATCCACCAGGGCTTGAGAGCAATACCCGATTCATTTTGAAACTCGAGAGGTATTTAGCGGATGCCTTTTCCTAATGGGATTTCGACCAATCAGAGCACAGTATTTGAAGCCACCCGACAGTTTTACTTCAGATATTTCCTCCTAGCTTTTGAATATTTCGCTGTAGCTCTTCATTTTTTCGGCTCATTTCAGATCGAATCTTGCATTTGACAGTCTACGGAATTCTAGTTATTGTATTAACATAATTTGTCCAAATCTTCCTTAATTCACCTCCTGATGTTGTCCACTGCACTTTGATTGACCAAAATCCGATTGGGAAAAATAATCCGCCAAACACCCCTCGAGCTTCAAAATTAATCAAGTATTTCCTTGAAGTTCCCCTGCAAACAAACGATTGTGCCAAGCTTTGCAGGAAAATTCCTCCCGCAAGTGCTCAGGATTTTTTAACCCCTCACGTACGGCGCTCATATAACGCGGATTGCCCCAACGCCCGGAGACTTACGACGCGTCAACTCCGTTATTCAATGAACGATAACTTGAAAACACTGGAACAAAAAAAAATAAAATAAAATACATTGGCTGTGTTGAACTTTGAAATAAACTCCTAGAGAATTTCCTAATTTTTGACACCAATTTCAATGTTTGCTGACAATTGATTGCCGAGATCTTCGAACATGCTAAATTTATTCATAACAAACAAATTATTCAGCAAATCGAAATTGAA